TGCTGCCTCATATTTTGAGATTCCCACTGGCAACAATAGGTGTGGATTCAGGGGCACTGTATTTTGTGACTTTTTTCAGAAATACACCTAGAAAGAGAAGTTTTGTCGTAATATCCAGATAAATAACTCATATTAATGCTATTGCTAACTATAATTTATTTAGAAGAATAAAAATTCATGCCTCACTAATTTCAAATTAAATTGAAAAAATTTAAAGTCTGGGAGAACGAAAAAGAGAAGGTAATGGGATGTCAAGCTAGTGCAAATAAGTATTTTTTCTTCAAACTGCATCACTAAACCAAAGTAATTAATGCAAAAAATAATTTCCCATTCAAGAGACATTATTTGGCATATTTTTCAGCAGTACATGTAGGACATTACTGTTACCCTGTAAAATGACATTTGCAATGTACATGTATGTGCACAAATTATGGTGACGTACAATGTAGGTTTTACAACAGCCGATCAAACTCGTTTGCAGATGACATTGTTCCTGTTGCTTCGGTGACATCCGATGTTCTTCATAATGTTATTCCATGTAGGATTTTAGTCAAACTTTCAATGACTGAAAATGAAGCCATAAAAAATTTGGTATATTTAGCCATATGCTGCTGGGTTTAATTTGAAGTTGCATGACGTGTACCCAGGGGATTTTCAAGATTTTCCGTCGGCAAAATTCCTCAAAAATTCAATAACTTTAACCCTCCTCTCTCTTTGTAAATACAGGGATTTGTATGTTTTCCTCATTTTTTGCTTCAACGTAATAAAAATAACTGAAACCTTTTCGGTAGAGTGTGGGAGATATTCCTAGTGCATAAACAGTGAAATTTCAGGTAGGCTTAGGCCTACTCCAAGTAAGTTGGGCCCTACAAATCACCTTTTTAAAACATTTGGACTTGGTCGGGCGATAGTAGGATCCAAGTACCTTCCATAGGCTTTTGCTTCCATTAATTCATTTAACTCAAAATAGCTCCTACTCTGAATCAAATTCCTCCGAATTCACCTCCAAAACAATCCCTAAACTGTCTAATGCACACGGCTACAGACGGAGTGAGAATCGGAGATTCCAATAATGATGGTAAGGTTTACTCACATTTGGGAAGAAAACAAAAAATTTCCCTGTGTCACTATTTTGTACAAATTATGTTCTAATCGTGATTTTAACTGTATGTTAATGTCCTGGAGATGACGTCATGGCATGCCGGCTCAGCGGACCATTCACAAAAAGCATGCCTTGTCTGCATACACACACCAACAACTAATTCCTGAGTGCCACATGCCAGGTGGCGGTGATCACCTCCAGCAAAATACAATCCATGACAAAGAAATATGACCAAAATACTTCCAGCTTTCATGGACAAAAGGACAGGACTAGCTGGAATATGATGAGGGTAGCCATGTAATGTGCCGTGTATCAATTTTTTTGTGGACAAGGTTGACTGCAAATCCTTATTTTTTGCGAGCGGCTTCCATTTTGAGGTTGCATTTGGGGTTGGACCACTAAACCTTCAGCAGGACCAGAAGAATTTTTTAAACACTGGTCGTGCTGGCTGTCCCCCCAAAAACCAAGTTATTTTGATCCTGGTATAGTGCCTCAGGGGGTTGGTTTGTGGCGACGGGGCACAGTGGCTTGTTTTCTATGGTTTGTGTGGGTGTGACCCAGCTGCAGAGATTGTCTTGGTCTTGGATGAAGCAGAGTAACAGGGCCACATTCAATAGCACAATACAAACGCTGGTATTGGCATACCCCTGTCTTTATCGGGAGTGGTATGCATTCTTTGGTACTTGTAGATGTACGTAAACAAAGTCGCGTGCAAACGTGCCCCTGGTCAGTGTGTCAAGTACAAGTCATCATTAACCCTAACAGTCCCAAATTCTCCAATTTCAGTACGATTTTACATACACCCTAGGGGGTTAGGGTTAATGCATGTACTTCCACATTCCTGTATGTTTGTTTTTTTGTGCTTATTTTTAGTTTTAGTTTTTTTGCCTTGTGTAAATGATGGAGTAATCCATAACTTTAACGACGTCCTGCCGGGTGGATTTCTCTTGAGCGGGATGAGATGACGGAACCTTTTCAAGATTTTCCGTTTTCAAAATTCATGAAACATTCTTGTGTTCATTTACTGGACGTTTACACCCACACAAACGACTGTCTGGTGGCTACTCTAATCTGACAGGCAACCTTCATTGATGCCCGAGTATTCAGCTCAGTCCTGCAGCCCTGTAAAAGAGAGCCCAGAGGTGTTGCATAATTTCCTTTGTTCCGGTGAATGCCAGTAGCGTCTTGTCATACACAGCTGGATTAGTGAGCAGAGGTGCTGCGTCGCTCATCAATGGGGCCCTGGAGCACTTTTGTCCATGGTACTAATCTGCGGGCGCGCTATGCCCAAAACAGTGATATACTGCTCCAAAACAGTGCCGGATTACCTTTGAAAAATGAAGTCAAAAAATGATGGCAATTCCCAGCAGCAGGTCTTTTGTTCCAAGTACAGTCTTTTGTTACACAGACCAGCTCTTTTGTCCGAAACCGGGCACCCCAGCTCTTGCGTATAAACACACAGTGCCCGAAACTGGACACCCTGGTAGGAAGTGGTTAAGCTTAGTCTGAATGATCTTTGTTTCTTGCAGGATCTGAGAGATGACTAGGCCTTGGTCTGCTGCCGTGGTGGCTAGTCTGGTGGTGGTTGGTGCTGAGCAGACTGTAGCATACTACATGTACCTGGCTGTGGTTCTAGTCCAATTTCTGATTATATTGGCAACCAGGTAAGCAATTCATCAGCCCTGTTTCATCATTCTTGTGACATGCAGTGGTCAATTCAAATGACGCTTTGGCCGTTTTCCAATACTCGGTTTGGGCTCCGTCCCAGGCTTCAACTTTTTTTTACTTCCTGACTTTGAGGTTGTAAGCGCAATAGCACATGTACATGTTAGTCTGATAGTGCCACAAAACATCAAGTAAGATGCAAAAGAGCCAAACATTAGAGTACTTCCAATTTAAGTTAAACACTTCAGGCCCACAATCAAGGATTGGTTCCTACACGAAGCCTTAGACGGAGACAAAGTTGAGTATTGGAAAACGGCCTATATCTAATGGAACTCAACTATGGGTACTCTGTAAGAGTGCATTGAGTTTTATTTGTTGAAACACGGAAAACAGAAAGTTAATGATCTTAAAGATCTACACTATTGCTGTTGGATACCTTTTACTCATTGGAATGCTTAGGGAAATCCTGAAGAGTGGGTTGATGAACATGTACATGTAGGTGTCTACCTCGTTAACTATGATTTTTTTTTTATGGCTACTGTTTTGGATTTTAAAAAATGCTTGGTGAACACAGACAGACAGAATTCAACGATTTGCCAATATGTAAACATGTATTTTCACCAAAATAAAGGTGAGAGTGTTAATTACTCGGTACAGGTGACTCTTGCATGGTGTGTTTGTTTTAAGTAATACATTTATGCGTGTGGATGAGTTCACCTTTTTGGTATTGTACTTGAACATGTATGTAATTGGACTTGGCCTTAGCCTTACATGTACATTGTAGGTACTCGGACTCAACCCATTACTCAGCCTTGAATGTACTCGTACGTGGTGCTTTGGACTCTGACTCATTTCCAGTGTACTCGCACACGGCCCAGGACTCTGTACCTACAGTACTCGGAGTACTGTGGACTCAGATTGAAGACCATTCATTTGCACAGGCCCGCCAGACCATCGGGTTTGGTGGATCTGGTGGTCCTGATGATTTTTTACTGGCCTCGGACCACCGGGCCACCGTGAATTTCGACCCCTGCATACCGCCAATTGATGATAAACCAACAAATCAATCATATACATGTACTGGCACGGTCTTTATGTCACATACACCTGTACATGTGAAATTGATTAAGTGCATGTCATTTGGTACATACATTGTATATGTACGTGTATTCTCGATTCACAGTGATCATGAACTTGGCAAAAATATACCCCCAGTTTTTGATTCAATAGACATTCACATTGTCATGTAGAGAACCAGTTTACTTAAATTACAAATGTTGCTGTAAAACTTTGAGAGCATCTTTTTCCTGTGAAAATACCTTCATGTATGAGTAATCTATGCATGCACTTGAATTGTTACCGGTAGTTCACTGGCCATAATAATAATTGCTCCTGAAAAAAAATCAACTTTCAATGACTGAGCCTCCCTCCCCCCCAAAAATGTTGCCTTCTTTTCAAGTTACATGTACATGTTAAGACGAGCAAATTTTGATTCCGAGAATCGGAAGAAAATGGCAAGGAAATGCCTCAGATTGTACCAAAGAGCATCCGGAATCCAAAATTTGTTGGGGCCCTGTCCTGGAACTTTATGATTTTGTATTAAAGGAAAACCTGGACCCCGAACCTTTTGTGATGGATGCTGATGATCTGACAGCCCAGCCAGAGAAAGTATTGGCTGCATATTGCGAGGCCACCGGTATCCCATTCAGCAACAAACTGTTGAATTGGGAAGATGATTTGTCAACAATGAACTATAAATGGATGAGTTGCTGAGACCGGCTGCAGCAATGGGGCGACCCTCATCATACCAATGTCAGGCAGAGCCGTAGTGTTGCAGAATTCCATGAGTTATCTGGAATCCATACCAATTTAAGTCTTGTTGTCAGCCCGACGATCAACCAGTTGATAGATTATTGCATGCCTTACCACAAGAAACTTAACCAGAATCGCTTTGTACCATAAATTTATGAGGTTGGCTTTTATCTCATTAAACATAAAGAACCAGCAGAAAGGAACTATGGAACTTTACACTTTTTCATATGAGGTTCTGATTTTAAGAGAAAAACTCCACCACCATTCAGAGAAGAATCATCATTGTGGTTAGTCTTTACAACACTTACTTGTATGTAACCCTGTCCAAGACATTTGGCCTGCCGATGATTAAATGACACAGCTTTCATGATTTCCCTCTCAAAATATCAATCTTACTTCATATACAAGTAGGAACAAATGGCACATGAAAGCAATTTGAACAAAGTCCTTATTTTTCCACTAAAATGTCTATAAACTACAAAGTTCTGCCATTCAAAGACTTTGCAGGATGGCAATTTCTTCTGACTTCCTCGGAAGAGTCATAACAGAGTGGCAATAAGTACACATTTAAGTGCAAAACCAATAGTTTAAACGATGACAAAAGTAATACTCAGACTCACCTAATGCAGAGAGCCAACCCTTGTGCACAAGAAAATTTGGAGAAGGAATAGCGCAGAATCCTCCAACACCAGTCATGATTCAGTTTGCAGTTGCACAACAGTTTGCTGACAAAACGGTTGCGTGCAGTCTGCTTGGTTTTTCCAAATCTTGGGGGCAAACCAGCTCCCAGATCATGACCTAGTCACATGATCAAGTCAGCTACCATTGGCTAAATACCATCATGCACAGCATTACACCTGATTGGTTGTTCACAGCTCCAGTGAACCATAAAACACAAGCAGGGACTTCGGAGCACCTGCATCCTACTTACAATCTGGATGACCATTGTCAGGGCACATTGGTCACTAACTAAGAGGAAAGAGAATACAAAGCACATCCTCCACCTTCTTGGGAGGAGGATGAACAAAGGAGCATAGAATAGAAAATCAACATTTCCTGTGGAGTTAGCAGGAAAGGATCAAAGAAATCACTCAAGCAAAGCTCAAAGAAGAAATATGGAATGTAAGGAAAGAAATGTCCACATGTAGAAGAGGGGAAACTTATAAATGGAAGCATAGTCATATTCATTTATATAACCCAAGACCACCTACATGTAATGTGGGTCGGGGTTACATGTGCGAGTTGAGGATGCCGGTTTATAACTTTGCTCTATCCAAAGCAGAAGATTGGGAGTTTCTTCATACTTTGCTACCGGTAGAAGACGGTCTGCAGTTTAGAACAATAAATGTTTATGCATGTAGGTCAGCTATTTCATCAGCTCATGTTCAAGTTCACGTACCTGTAGATGGTGTCCCTCTTGGCCAACATCCCGTAATATCTAGACTTTTTAAAAGGCATCTTCAACATTCGACCACTTAATACTACATGTAGATACATGTAATTTATTTACTCGGGATGTCAGGAAAGTTCTGTGGTGCCTTGGTTCACTTCCTCCTAATGGGAATCTCAGTTTGAAGCTTCTCATGCTGGAGTTGGTCATGTTGGTCGCTTTGGTATCAGCAGGGCATTGCTCGTCATAGTGCGCTCATGTCTTGGGTTACTTGTGCTCCTGGTTTCCCAACCTACCCTATTTTTCATCGCGACCCTAGAAAATTTTATCAGCAAGTTAGAAAAACAAATTTAAAATATAAAAAATATATAAATTAAATCCTGGTGTCCTTTTTGTCTGCACAAAACACCCATTAACGACCTTTTTCCAAATTAAAACGATTGTTTTTATTTGTTTTTCTACTTATTGCAACTCGTAAAAAGAAACTTCCATTATTTTTATGCGTTCCTTCACACACGCTTAACACGCAGTACACAGACATTGTTGGCCAGTTTGCCGTCATGATTATCCAACTCACGTTGTACGTAGTGGTGTGAATTGTCCGTAAGTCTTGTGAATTGTTGACTGCAGAAATTTTGCGTAGATAAAGGCAAATTTTAATCACTTTTTGTGACAATTTTTAGAAGCTTTGGTCCCCATTCATGCTGTTAACTCAGCACACAAAAAATTGACCGCCCCCTCGAAAAAAAGATTTTCCGACCCACTGTCCCAAATTTTGAGAGACATGTAATGAGAAACAGAACTTTTTAGTGGGGGGGCCTAAGTTGCCAAAGCCCTGGCCAAACTAAGTGCATCAAGTGTTGCACCTTGACCACACACAAAGCAAAGCAGTGATGTGTACACTGCATTGTACTTTTATTTGTGTCAAACCTCAGGTGTGTAAGCTCACTACAGGGCAGGAACATGGCTAGCAAATTTTTACTAGTGTGTCCCCCTTTGAACCTTACAGAAATAGAAATTTCAGGTACACATGAACAGGTATCTGTAGCACTTAAAAAATAGGCATTGCTTGTGTACTTACGGAGATGGTGTCCCGTAGCTCTGTCAATAACTTGCTTGCATGTACATGTACATGCAAGATACTCAGAGTGTGTACAGACCTCCAGTTACATGTGCATGTACTTGGCATACGACTCTTATAAATTTGTAGCTGAAACCAGTTTCTGTCCTGCCATCATGTCTCCACGTGTCATCCTTTGGTCACTTCCCCGTTCTTGCACTACTGCAGTCCTACGGGCAGTCTCCAGTGTTGATGGGGGAGTATTTTACTGGGAGCCATATGGCTGTGCGATGTATTATGGACCAGAGAGAAGCGAGAAGGAGTTTTTATCAGTGAGCTCTGCATCCTCGGTTTCAATTGCTGATGCCCCTGGTGCAGACGTGGCCTACGATTCTTCAGTCAACACGTTTGACTGGGTCAGGCAGACACTGGAAGCCGAGCATAAGGGTGCCAGTCTTGTGTTTGCCAAAGATTTTGCATTTGCTCTGGGAGGGAAGACAGAGCGACTTCCAGTTGGCTATCAACACACTTTCCTGATCAGGGATCCTACCAAAGTCATCCCGTCCTGGTGGAAAATGAACCAGGAATGTCGAGAATCGTGCCCAGCTGCTGACGAGCAAGAGATGGAAGAATGGCAGGAACGTCAGATTGGCAAGTATGGTGGCTATGATGATCTCCTAGAACTTTATGATTTTGTCAAGGAAAACCTGGAGCCCAAACCTTTTGTGATGGATGCTGATGATCTGATGGCCCAGCCAGAGAAAGTGTTGGCTGCATATTGCGAGGCCACCGGTATCCCATTCAGCAACAAACTGTTGGATTGGGAAGATGATTGGTCAAAGATGAATGCCAAGTGGATCACTTGCCGAGACCAGCTAATGTATTTGAAAATGCAGTATCATCACAATGCCACAAATAGCCGTGGCTTTTTGAAATCCCATAAGTTGCCCAGTGCCTCTACCAATTCAAGATTGGTAGCCAACCTAAAGATCACCCACCTGAGAGACTGTTGCATACCTTACTACAAGAAACTGTATCAACAACGTTTTGTGCCTTGAGGAGGGTGTTTTAATCAAAAAAGATCCATTGCAATGGAACCGTATACATGTACACCATAAAATGAGCATGTTCATGTGGGAGATGTAATGAGCATAAATCTTGAACACTTGCTGCATGTGAATTTATGCAAAAGATTGTAACCACAACGCTGCTAATTGCTGTTAACGGATTTAAAGTGCCATGAGAGGCGATATTACTAATTTTCCTTCTTTGTATACCAAATGGTTTAATACAGCTATTGCTTTTATGAAAAGTGATACTGGAGGGCAAAAGACATCAATCAAAGACCCAGGTTTTAATGTTTGGGTTCTGTTGGGCAGAGTTTGTAAAAGGAGTCAGAGTTGTTTTGTTTTACAATATTTTAACGTCAACATCACATTCGTGTAAGAAATTATAGTGTATTACGTACAATGTAGAATTGAACCCTCTTGGGACTTCTATTTTCGTTGTCTGATTGATTGGCGTAATACTGAAACGAGAGTAAGCCGTTTTATTTTAAATTACATAAAGTTGACCTCTGAGTTTTTTGTTAGGGATATAAACTCTTAAGGAAAAAATGAAGCTTTGTAACTCTCCTGTTTAAAGTGCTCTTTAAAGAAGATGGTACAGTTCTCATTGTCCATGCTGATGTCCTGGCATAATTCTGTGTGTAGTTGTGGATATTAAAGATACATTATGTTACATCAGTATTATAAAGATTTGGTAATTACACTTAGCAGCATTTCTTACAGTTCAAAAGGCTGGATATTCTATTTACAAGATACAAAATACCATTTTAAATCATTGCACAAAACAAAGTTCTTAAAATTTTGTATTTATGAAGAAGACCTCCAGGGCTTATTGCCAAGGCTTTGTTTGCCTGTCACCTAATAGAATGTTTGTGCCCCTTAACCTGTTTAACAGGTGCAACTGTACAATATGTGCTCCCCATCTTACTTTCAAATGTTCCATCCTGTTGTAGTCAGCCACTCTACCCCCTGGCCACCCTATTGACTTTGCTTCATTTTCATTGATACTATCTATGGCTTTCCTGAGCAAAAAATTCTTTATTTGGCCACACGTAACAATTTGTCTGTGGTTATCTGACCAACCGGTGCACTGGAAACCAAGTGGTCGGGTTGGCATTTCTCCCCCCCCTCCCCAGTCTTTTTATTTTATCAGCCAGAAAAATGTAATCCTTGATTTCTCATGTGAGGATGGGGGATGTTCACAAAGTTTGTACGCATGGTATGGAGAAAAAAGGAAGGCTGTGGATGTTGCCTTCATACAACTGTACATCAGTTTGTGTCCTTCTTTCATGCATGTATGATACACATTGTGTGTGGGGGGGATGTCTCAGGCAAGAAAGACAGACTGGTACAAAGCTTTCTAACCAGGTTCTTGCATGCATTTGGCGTGGATGCAAAGACTGTACATTCCAGCATAAACTCATTGCGGTGAGTTCATACTTAAGGACACGCCTTCTTTTGTTCCTCCTTGGAGTGGATAGAGGGGATTAAAATGGCTTGTAATAAATTCACAAGGACATTCTATTATTTACATCTGTCATGACCAGCTTTTGTAGTTTTTACATGAATACATACTCTGAGAATCGTTCACTGCCACCATGTGGTCTGGATTTTAGCATTTCCGTGACTGGTTTGAAAAGTTGAAGGGCGATAATGTGCCCGAGTATAGGGGGAGGAGAGCTGAAAAAAATAAATTCATCTGGTTGGCAAGGGATGTCAGGATCCATTTGAATTACAGGGGAGAAAGTTGTTGCAACTCTGACTGTATTGTTTCTTCTGAAACACCAAACTGGTCAAAAAATAATTGTCAGTGACGTACGTGTAGGTAGCTGGATTGAACAAAATTCTAAACGACAACATAATGTAGCTTTCAAACCTTGACTCCAAATTCTCAACCAAAAGACTGAAAAAAAAAGGATCTGGTTTTTCTTTGATGAAGTTCGATGTCAAAAGTTTTTCTTGAATTTCACAGAGATTTTATTTTTAGTTGCTCCATCGAGTAGTAATGTTGGTAGTCGCCTTAATTGTCCCAACCTTTCAAAGTAGCTTTCACAGCAACATTAACTCCAGAAAAATCAAGCTGAGAGGCTTGTCACATCTCACCCTGGAGGATCTCACCCCTACCTCTATGATCTCACTGCCTTGTTGATTGTCAGAAGGGTCATACATGTACATGTACATTGTTTACATGTAGTATGAAGCGCGGTCAGTACCCTGTGGCCTTGTGATTTGGCAAGCTACAGATGCCGCATTTACACTTGATCCTGCAAAGGAGGATCAGATCCAGCGAGAGCATTCAAGCGACGGGATCAGATCCATGCCGCATTTACACTGGATCCTGACCCCGCGTGGCATCGATGAAGCGCTGCAACCTCAGGGCAAAGGTTATGCGAACAGTTAACTGATTATGCGCACTGGAGCAAAACGGCAGCCAGTATTACGTGTACTTACGCGCTATATATACGTCTTTTTTTTTAATCTTACGTAGTTTCAGATGAAACGATGAAAAATGGGGAAATGGAAGGTTTTAGATCAGCGATATGCAGCGGTAATGAAAGTGACTAAAGGCGACACGGATAAAGCGTGGGAACTGGGAACCAGCGTAATGCTGATTATGTACATGTACGTAGCGGCCGGACCAACAGCGTATGTATGGTGCGTGTACAATGTCATGTAAGTATACATGACATGTACCGTAGGTCTTTTCGATGACACAGACTTGTTTTTCACTCGCTTCAAGACTTGCACCGGATGTAGTTACGTCAAATTAAGGAATCTGATCCCGATCTGATCCAGTGTTGCGTTTACACTTGCAAATTGATCCTGCGCGCGGGATCTGAACAGGATCTGATCCTTCCCGAGAGGAGGATCAGATCTCGGGATTAGGATCTGATCCTCCCCCCCCCGCTGGATCTGATCCTCCTCGCCGGATCAAGTGTAAACGCAGTGACACGGAAGGTCAGACTTCTTTTTGACTCATCTGGTCCCTGACCCAGGTATGCAAATTGGTGATCTGATCTGATGGTTATCTGCCTTTTTGTACACAAAATTGCCTGGCAGCAAGGGGATTTGTGTGTTAAAGCTATGACTGTATAAAACCATTTAGGCCATCGGAGTCCCATAGTAATAGTAAAATTGTTGCACCAAATCACTGGAAATTTATCATTTTAAAAACTGTCCTGAATATGTGACTAAATACAGAAATATGTACTTGGCTGGTGCTACTGGCTTGGACATTGTCAATTCCATTCTCCTGATCTAAGGACATATTCCCATGTTATACTGCATTACACACTACTACAGTTTACCAACAATCTCCAGTGTTGACAGGAGTATCTTTACAGGGAGCCATATGCCTGTGCTTTTGCAATAACTTTGAAGGTTCATAACTTTAGAGTAAAAGCTTCCATCTTAAAATCCCCTCATATGAAAGTCCAGTGATGCTAACCAACTGTGCCTACACTGTACATGTACACCTACACTGTACATTGTGTAAATAGCACCTAACAGCTTGTAATATTGATTGGATGTGGACAGACCAAGGCCACTCCCTGGCATGTACATGTACTGTATTGTACTGTCCAGAGTGCTTGACCACTGTGCTCTTTGTCCAGTTTCAATTTGCATACACATACTTTGTGTAGGACCAGAGTTATCAGGCACCCTTACCAGTAGCTACATGTAGCTGTGCAAAATTGCTTTCATAGATCGTTACAGTCTTTGTAGTGACTGCATCTTTAAACTACTTGGTACACAGCTCTTAAAACTTTGTTGCTGAAACCTGTTTCTGTCCTGCCATGTCTCCACGTATCATTCTGTGGTCAGTGCCTCGTTCTTGCACTACTGCAGTCCTACAAGCAATATCCAATGTTGATGGGGGAGTATTTTACTGGGAGCCGTATGGCTGTGCTTTCTACTTTGGACCAGAGAGGAATGAGCGAGAGCTCTTGACTCTCGACTCATCATCTTCAGTTACACCTGCTAATGTCCCTGCATCCTCAACTTCACCTGCCGATGTCCCTGGTACAGACATGGCCTATGATTCTTCAGTCAACACTTTTGACTGGATCAAGCAGACACTGGAAGCCGAGCATAAAGGTGCTAGTCTTGTGTTTGCCAAGGATTTTGCCTTTTGCCTGGAAGGAAAGACAGAGCGACTTCCAGTTGGCTATCAACACACTTTTCTGATCAGGGATCCTACCAAAGTCATTCCGTCTTGGTGGAAAATGAACCAAGAATATAGAGAATCGTGCCCAGCTGCTGACGAGCAAGAAATGGAAGAATGGCAGGAACTTCAGATTGGCAAGTATGGTGGCTATGATGCTCTCCTAGAACTTTATGATTTTGTCAAGGAAAACCTGGATCCCAAACCTTTTGTGATGGATGCTGATGATCTGATAGCCCAGCCAGAAAAAGTGTTGGCTGCATATTGCGAGGCCACCGGTATCCCATTCAGCAACAAACTGTTGGATTGGGAAGATGATTGGTCAAAGATGAATGCCAAGTGGATCACTTGCCGAGACCAGCTTTGGCTTTGGAATAACTCCCATCACACCAATGTCAGGCAGAGCCGTGGCTTTTTGAAATCCCACCAATTACCCAGAGCTGATGATACCAATTCAAGGCTTATTCTCAACCCAAAGATCACCCAGCTGATAGACTGTTGCAAGCCTTATTATAAGAAACTTTACCAGCAACGCTTTGCACCCTAAATTAAGGAGGTTACTATGCCATGAGACATTTTGCTTAGGGAAAACCTTTTTAATTCCATAGTAGCTAGTCATTACAACAGTAAGGTCTTTTATCCATAGATTTCTGTGCCTTTTAACAGTGACATTGTTACACTATAAAGGACCTGTTTATGCAGAAGATTGGTAATGGAATTCCATGCAGCAAAAAAGTATCAAACACAATGGTTTAGATATTTCCATGAAGAAGTGCACAAAATAAGAGACTGGAAGTTCAATCATTCTTCAGAACTGCCATATTAGTAAGCATCACAAATTATATTAATGTCGCATTCATACGTGGGGTGGTGATACCCTACGGTGGTGGGGTACGCCTGAGTTTTAAGTTGGGGATTGATCTCTCTGGTGGTTAAGATACTCAAAATAAAACTCAAAATTGGCACAAGGAATCACTCTCACCGTATTTTAGAGTTGATTCATTTCTATTTGAAATCAAGTTGAGAAATTTAGTATTGCCCCAATATTAAGATTGAGAAAATTTACACAATTGTGGACACTAATAAATGGAGGTTGACAATAATAAAATAATTGATATGGATTGATTGACCAGTAATGGAGAAAGAAGTTTATGCTGTGATAATTGCAAGAGGAAAAAGTGAAGTCATAAGATATGACAGAGCCAATGGGCAAAGGGAAAAGACTAAAAGATATAAAGACAAAAGGCAAAGGACGCTGTGCAACCTGCTCTCTCTACAGAGATCAGCTGTGTAGAGACCACACAATGAATCAATTCAAGGACATGTAATAGACGTTGAGTGCAACATGAAACAGTCGTTACGCTTTGTGCATGTGGACAAGTCACATTGCCAAACTTTCCACAAAACTTTCACAACAACGTGACAAACAAAATCAGTCCAAATTTTTTACCCGACTTGGAGCTCATACTTGGCCCACACGTACTACAAGACAAATCTGTCAGTGTGAACGGGCTAGAACCATGCATGACGATAAACAAAAGATAAAAGTTGCAAAACTTTATGACAAGAGTGAACTTACATGTATGTCCTGACAACAAACTCCTGCTAGAGAGAGGCAGATTGTCAAGTACGCCATGGTGAAATACGTCACGTAAGCGTACAAAAATACGTTCATGTCTGGTACGAACTTTTGGACTAAAACCTGTTGTTGCAGACTTATATTGATGAGGATATAATTAGTTTATGATTATGACCATGAACAACCACTTGGGTGACTGTACACAGAAAGTACAACAATTTAAATACGTCGGGACTATGTTGAATGAGTAAGAACACTCGGGGGTTTGTGAGAAAGTGTGTGGTGTGGAAACTTGACAGACCCCTAGACTTGACAAAGTCTGACCACCGCATTCTATGTGGTATGAAAACTGAGATCTTTTATTAAATGGTATGCCAGTGAGACGCAATACAGTTCAGTATGCCTTTTGATAAAAACAGCTTTTAGGCTAAAAAATCATGGATTTTTGGTATGCATTTTACCCTCTTTTAACATGTGTAATTATTTAATACTTGGAGAGACATGAGACTGGGTATACAAAAATCTGCTGTAGAAAAAAATCTGGATGTGAAGTCACAACAGAAATGTATCTAATGTGCACCTCAATACATGAAGTTGTAAATGCAATAATATTGTTAACATAAACACAACCACCACATTTTTATGAGGACTAAACATGATGGGGACAGTTGTAAATGAGACAACAAAATTTGACGTGGCAATAATGATTGATTAAAAAGTCGGTAATGACTGTTGTAAATGTTGTTGGTTTTTTTTTCGTTTTTTCTGTTGTGTTTGATGTTGTTATACTTTCTGAATGCTTGTACTTACCGGTACATGTATGTTCAGTTGAAGAACTGACAGATCGTGTATTTTGTAAAGTCATCTTAGTTTATGGTAATGTTCGTAACGTGATATCCTGAGCGGTTACGAGAGTGCACACTGAAGCTGCTCTATCACTGCCAAAAGTTTTAGTTTGCCCAGTTGCCCCCATCAATTAAAAATAACCCATCTGTAAAATTAGACCTCCCAAGGAATTTGCAACTGTTGCCATAAATTAAATTTGCAGACTTTTCTCACTGTGATTACAATTGCGTTCTATTTGTAACATGTTATGAGTATGCGTTGTGTACCGCGTCTAGCTTACACTTGCTGGTGTACGTTCAGTAACCACATAAACCTCGTACCTAGTATGTACATGTATGGGCAACATGCACATGAAACGTTTCCTATGAAAGTCAGTCAAAAAAAATTGTTTTTTTATATCTAGATGTCACACATTTGTAACCAGTATTGTATACGTACACATTATATAAGACATGATTGTTATTGGAATATTTGTTTTAATTCAAAGAAAAAGATATTTTTCTGCTAAACAAGTTTTTTGGTTCATCAGCCTCTTCTCTGTTTTAACTTGTGCCAAAGAGGAGTGGACAAACCGTAATAAATTTAACCATGATCTTTGGGCAGTGCTTTAAACATTTGTGAATCATTTGAAACAATCACAGAAATACTATATTTTTCTTTAGCAGTAGCCTGCTTAAGTGAACTTTCTTTGTAGAGACATGTTCATGTATTTTTATCCTTATCAATCTTTTGTTACGTAACTAACCAAGATTAAGTGTCAGCTCACAAATCAAGTACTGGTATTGTGGAGATCTGGGGACTAAAATTACATGTACTTTACTAACATAATATATTCAAGATGATGTCATGGCTCTGACGTCATAGATTTCTGTTGTCTACGTGCAGAAGCACAATAGAAATCTTGTTATCACAAGTCCTGGTTGAGGCATTGGCTTAGCAGAACATTTGTGTTCATGAACACATCATTCTTCTTTTTCTGTTTTTTGGCTTGTGTTTTTCCTTTTGTGCTGATGATGGAGCAGTCGCTGTTGATAATCCTGATTTCTCAATATTGCTCTTTGCTTCTTGCAGGATAAGAGAGATGACTTGGCCCTGGGTCTGGGATCCACCTCCACCCTGATGGAAGAGAACACCAAGTATTGGTTGACAGGCTCTGCTGTTGCCGTGGTGTCTGGTCTGGTGCTGGTGGGTGCTATGGCAGAGCAGACTGCAGCGTACTACATGTACTTAGCTGTAGTTGTAACTGTTGGTCACATTGGCAACCAGGTGAGCAACTTGGCTGATGGACTCATCAGGGCTGTTTCTTGGGATTTTCTTTTTTCACAAAAACAGCACTAAATTGTTTTGATTTTTAGCCAAAGCCGTAGAAACTAGAAGATCTTGCATAAGACTCTTTAGGTTCCACACGTGGGATTTATAATACATGTACTTTTTGGACTTGTCAGAGTAGTAGCATCCAGTTGAGGGGAAAATTAATTATATACCTTTAGTTTACTAAAATAATGTCTTCGCTGTGGTTCAGGTGGTCAGTACCGTATACTGTTGTTTGTTTCTTATGTACGTGCTTGCTAATTTTCAACTTAAATTAATTGACAGTGTTTGATTATTCCTACATACTATGCTGGCTTGTATATTTGCATTCTAACCTGACCCTATTTCGCCTTCTTGCATTGGTTGTGGCAAATGCATGTTTATTTATTTAACCAACAATGTATTTTTTTTAGAAACAGTAGTCAAGGTGGGGGCTCCAACTAATTTAGACTTGAATTTTAATGATGTGTCTGGTTGCAGTATCTGAAAGCTTGTTCTGAAGTGCAAAATAATTTCCTTGAGGACACTTTAACTCAGTATTGTTTTGGTCATGTGTCTGGAGTACCTTGGTTCAAATTGCATGCAAAATATCATACTGGTCAGTGATGGAAATAAGAAAATAAACTTGATTAGCAAATTTGCTAATCATATTGTCATTTGATTAGCATTATTGTAAAATTGACTAGAAAAAGAGAAATGGGCCCAATTCAGTACCATTATACCAGGGCCAGTTTCCGATCCGCACCGCAAGTTCGCCGCGTGCATGGTGGCCGGTGGGAGTGGGTTGTATGGGCCGTTCATGCATGTTTTTAAAAGAAATTTCCATTCGCAAAAATTGCACATCGGTTTCATGTTTGTCTCGCTTTTTGTGCCAAACGTATCCCATTTTGCGATACAAATCCAGCTATTTCCATCACTGCCATTACAAACCAAAGTTCCTTGAGTTAATAAGTTTCAAAGTTACTTGAGTTAATAAGTTTCACAGTTCCTTGAGTTAAGTTCCAAATGTCCTTGATGTTAATAAATTCTTGTTATGACTCCACAGGTGTAGAGTCTGTGGACAGACACAACCCTCAAGTTTACAAGGACAATCTCTGCTTCCATACTACTTCCTGCCTACATGTACCAAGAGGTGTCATCTCTGCAAAGAACGGAGAAGTTCTGTTCCTGCCGGCACAGTGGGAAAATGTGGCTTCTGCTACTCTTGCACTGGGAATTGTCATCACAGCAGATTTAACTGAAGGAGAGACTTTGTCAGTGACTCATCCAGAACACTGCAGCTAGAAGAGGAAGAGACTTGTCAAGGATGATCAATACATGGACAGTTTGTTCCTGAAGTTGTGTTGCTGTGCACATCAATATAGCAGTCTTTTGTTGATGCGAGCCCAAATGCTGTGTTAAACCAACAAGGGGACTTGTACCTTATTATCTTCTGAAGTGGACATTTAGACCGTCCTTTCACAACAAGCTCTGAAGAATTCTTTGCTGCTCAAGGCTGCTGATATAAAACTTGCCCGTTACAGTGCCAACTGAAAAGACATTAATGGAGAAATTAGTTTGAACGAAAAATTGACTGTGGATAGGACAATGGCGTCGAGCTAGTTTCCCAATCACAGTGGAACCATTCAGCATAAACTACCAATTTTAAAGAGTGCCAATTCATAAACAAATTCATAAATTTTATGCGGTACATAGGGAGATATTTCCATTGTCTTTTGGGACTTTCATCACAGTGAAAATGGAAACATTCACTGGTATAAGAACCAAAGCACAACCAAAATGAATGTTGAAATGTTAATTCATTTTTAAAGAATAGTTTCCTGGACTTTGGACGCAGAAGAGACACATTTTGTAGGAAAAGCAATAATCCACTAAAATGGAATGAAACATTTTGCATCCATTCCTTATAATTTCTCTTTCTGAATTTTGTTATCAACCAGCCCCTCACAACCGTCTCTTGAAAGAAGGCAGATCAAAACAGTGAAAAGAAATTCTGAAGCCCTAAAAAATATGAAGGAGACTTGTTTTTAAACCTTTTCAGGAACATTTTTAAGTAGTAAACTACATGCAGTGCAGTGTATTTTTCTTATTTCTAGCTTGCCAAAAGAAACTATCTTTGCAGACAACTATTGAGCAAAATGTTACATGTGTATGTGAGGGCTGGTTCCCGGAAAGAAATTACTTTTATACATGTAAATCAATTGCTAATTGCCTAAATGGTAAAACCTTCAAAAGCTGCGTCTAACATTGGTCAATTTTGCTACAGCCAAGAATCAAATATTTCCAAAAATGTTTTCATGTGTAACCAATTCCCAGGAAAGTTCATTGGGATAATCTGGTGTTTGAATTAGACCGTGTCTTTTTTAGCATGTCAAAATGCTCATCCTATCATGTAGACTTCTTAAATAAGGTTTTGTCAGAAAAAACTCATCTTTAAAAGATCGCTTGTGAAGATAACTGGAGTATACTGGTAAAAATGTTGAGGCCAAAGCGCCACGTCTTATCAGACTCACACTTTTTGGCCAAAAAGTTTCCCATACGCCATCACTTTAGCCATTCCAGTTTACTTGCCGTTTGCTATTCTAAACAGCGAAAAATGTAGCCAATTTTTATGATGTTACAGTTATTTGCTTACTTTTGCCAAATCAAGAAACCAAAGTGCACCTTCATTCGTAATTGTTCCCACACCAAACATGTATCTGAATTACCCATCTTAGACGCAGCAGTTGGAGTATAATCAGCACAGATTGAAACCTTCCAAAATTGATTCCATTAGATGGTGCTAAGAGTCGTCGGAAGAAACTGCATGTACATTCAGATGTCAGTTTCTGTCAAGCAATCTGAAAACTCATTTCTAACCCCTTCACTTCATCAATAATTCAAGCACAAAGTGTGAAAAAACCTTCAGGTATGAAGTATGCCTGGAATTTCTATTTGTTCTTTTGACAGGCCGTAATAATACTGTTGTGGTCAGTATTACTCTCTACGAAGTCAAATGGATTGCCTTTTACTTTGAAACAAGGATCATGAAAATTAATGTGTATTAAAAAACACAGCAGGTATCCTCTGTAAGTTAAGTGCTGATTATACTCCATTTACATTTGTGTACTGAAAATTTACTCTGATTTTTACATTTTTGTGTTTTACCATCAGGCAAACCAAATCAAAACCAAAGCCCAGCCACATGCAGGCCCTCCTGGTGCGTGCACGTGTGTTCCCTGCCCGCAGACGCTGACAGGTTGGTGGTTGCCCGCTATCTGCATCGGCTTGTGAATCTGGCTGTTGGTGATGTATGCAACCTCCCAAAATCTTGTGAGTCTGGGTGATTGTGGATACCTCAGTAGGCAGCAACATGGTAAGGATCCTCCGAACTTTGGCAATTGGTCAATTTGTCTACCAAGCAGATGTTACATGTCCACTGCTCCGGGGATGGCAAGTTGAGAGAACACTTCCGCATCTACTCTGCCATTGCTCACTTGACATTTCAAAAGTTCTCTACATCTTTTTCTTTGATCTGAGAAAATGAAAGATGTACAAAATGGCCATTTTGTGGGCTTTCTTGGGTATTCAACAGTGTCTTAGGATGTTAGGCCAGTTGTTTTAACCCTCACTCATAGTGTTGGCTTTCATCATTGAACTCGTCATCATTTGCTGTTATTTTATTCACATGTTCCAACGTCTCTTCTCAAGCAGTGTGGAAACATGAAGATGTGTTTAAAATGCACTACTTCAGTTTCACAAAAACTCAGTTTCGATGAAATGGATCACATTTCAGCGAATAAAAAATTGCAAGCATGTGAAAAGTTGAGTCCATGCTCAATGGCAAGTGTGCTTTTTTGTAAGCAACCGTGCAAGATCACAAGTTTGAAAGCAACTGCCAAAACTTTAAATGTTGCCCCCAATTTTTCCCTGTAAGAGTACAAGCTTGTTTGGAAGCACATATACATGCAGTATGTGTAAGATCTCAAGTTGAGAAAATACCGCTCGATGTAGTCCAATGTTATATTCTGGACGTGTCTCACCTTTTTTTTTCACTAGTCAGAAACCTGCAGAAGTAAAGTCATCATTTAAGGCCACCGTGAATGCATATTGTGAAAGCTAGTTTCCTCAAAGATGAACAATCTACATATTCATTCAATCTGAAAAAAAATTAAAAATTTGTTGGGGCAGTGCCGTCAGTATTGTTTAAAACAAAAGCTACAACGTCACAATAAAAAAAGGATAAAGAATAAAAAAAAAGAAGCCAGACATTTGGAACTGCACTGGAGAAGCCCGGGTGTGCTAAAAGGAGAACCATGCTGTTAGACTGCTAGGTGGACGATGCATCCAGGCCATTCACTCCAATAACACGGGGCACACACACATGCTTCTTGTGAATCTTGGCAGTGGTTAACCTCATGGTTTCATCTGAAAGGAACACTAACTCTACAGTTACGTATATTAATGCAGTCATGTGTGCCAATTTGCCACATCACTGGCCCTGAAACTTCCAGCAGATAGCATTAGGTAAACACAATTTGCTGTCTGGTAATTTTTGGATTACACGTTGTCTCTTGTGACATCGTAAAGTCAAAATGAAAAACCTCAACACCCTGGAAGGCTCTCTACTGAGCACAGAGACTGCGATTTCTCCTGAAATCCGGAAGAAAACTCATCACTGCTCCAAAAGGGAGAATAGTAAAATAACAATTAAAGGAGGTTAAGTTAGGGACAAATTGGGAGCGAGTGTGTGCCCCACAAACAGAGGAGTGAATGGCTTGGGAGATTGGGTAGCAATCTGCCTCTCAGTATCCTAAACAGAAACTGTAGCATCGACACGGGGAGCCAGTCCCGGCTACAAGGTCCATGGTAAGTTTAATTGAAGTTTGTAGAATTGATTCATGCACTGGTGTAAACAAAAATGGTTGTACATCCTGGTGTCTTGCTAAACCCAACTTTGTATCTCATGGCTAGGAGTAGGACTGTAGTCTGTATGAACAAGGTGGTTATGAGCAGATGGTCTTCAGTCTAAGGCAATATGCAGTGGCGTAGCCGATGGGGGGGTGTGTAACTTACGGTAAGTCATAGTGGCTAAATGACCAGTTGATAAAGAAAAGACTTGCAACCTGGACAAATATTGAGCAAATAGGCCAACTATGGCATACTTACAATCAGATGGCCATATTCATAGCTTCCAATATGACTGTCTCCTTACTCAATTTCCTATTACAAGAAAGAACAGCAGGCAATGCAGTCAACGCTGTACATGCATGGCTTTGTGATAGATCCAAGCTGTTGAGCTTGTGCCTTGTTCTTCCAATTTTTGGCATGCCCTTATGAAATGGGGCTTGTTTGAGCCTGACAGTCAAAACTTGCAGCAGAGTAAATGTCTGTGACCAGAATAAAAAACAAAAACATGTCTGGTAAGGTCAGATTTCTGCTGGAATTCTTCAGATGTTTATACTGTTTGACTGCCCAGCATTGACTCTTAGTTTGTCAGTGGTTTGGGAGTCATTGGGAGTAATGTCACCGGGGGGAGTGGCAAGCACCCCACCCTCACAAGTGGCATTCGGCCTGGATTCACGTTGAAGTACATTTGTCTTGCAAGTCATCGGGAGACATTTTATCTCTCATTTGTCGAAAGACAAGAAGCTATTGGCCAGCTGTCTGGAATCATTAAACTTTTGTAGCATAAATTGTTGTCTGGTACATCTACAGGTCTGAACCCCTCCCCCCGGCTACGCCACTTGCACTGCTGAAATTCAAAACAAAGGAAAACAAAACCATTGATATTTTGATTAAAAGAAGCTTGATCAAGGCTGTGACAACCGGATTGTCCTCTTATTGCAAGATCTGTGTTTGTTCTTTCAATAACGAATATCGTTGGAATATGGTTTTATTTGGGGACCTCTTATTTTAGCTACAGATAGCCCCTAGCAAATCTGGAAGCTTGGGATATCAGTGGTTGAATAGTCAACCTTCCACTATTCCTAATGCAAAGTAGAGGTCATCCCACAGTTTGCCTATCAAGGCATCACAATTTGTGTAACATACATGTACATGTAGTATTCCAAACTTTGGCAAAGAAAAATTTGGCTGGACGGAGGTAAAGCACGGAGAGTAACAGCAGTGATAATTGCCTGTGAATGGCTGTCTAAATTCTGACCTCTTCTACATTACACCACTACACGCAGTGTACCATTCTCATAGTGGTAAAAAACTTGAACCCAAAGCAAATCCCTACAGCATAATCAAAATAGAAAATGTTGAAAACCAAATATATAAATAGTCAGTACATACATGTATATGTTGCCTTAGACTGGAAACCATCACGCTCCATGCATTTTTGTTCTAAATATATAGGATAAATTTGTCCATGTCTGAGTCCTGATTGTCTGGGAACAATAACACCAAGTTCAGAGTCAAGGCCAGGTCTGTTTTAGGGTTTTTTCTCCAGAATAATTCATATAAGGAATTTGTTCACCTACGGAATGAACCCCTGTTATTCCATCAAGTAACTCATTTAGTTAGAAAGCAGCAAAAAGACCCAGCAAGGTTTGTTTCTCATTATATGGGTTAATGATGCACCAACCTTGTTTTTTCGTTTGATTTTGAGACAGTTCAAAAGGAATATTTCCAAGGAGTTGGTATCCAAAAAAAACCCAGGCATTACCTCTTTAAACCAGCATGACTGGTAAACACCAAAGGACATGTAAACGCATTTAGGCAATCTATATTCATAGATATTGCTGATGGATGAAAATGTTGACTGTTCCCTTTTTTTCGAGTAAACATCGATATACACTTTAATCCCTAATTTGTTTCGTATGTACGCAACATCTGAGAGGTCCATGGAGATGGACTGTGTGTTCAACCGGAACTTTGCCACTGTTCGTGGCCTGTACATGTATGCCACTCCTTGTCAGAGCCTTGGACTGACACAAGTTATGTCCTTGTCATACCAATGTTATACCGGTGACTTTCAGGAATCAATGTATTTGGAAGTTGGCCAATATCTTGTCTTTTTGGAAACCCATTTTTTTCAGCAAAAACAGTGGTACATGTAAGTGAAGAGACTGAACTTTTTTTTTATCGTTATAAAGCAGTATCACATCATGGAGGCCTTGCTTCCTCCAAAAGAATACAGAGATTGAACCCACAGCAGAACTTCGCTTACGACTTCCGTTAGTGGGATTTTCACTCTTTTTCTGCTGCCACTGTAGATGATGGTGACTCGCATATCCCTTTTTTATAAATGGAAACAAATGTTGTACTGATGCATTCATTTAAAGTGATGCACATTGTCACTTTACATTTTCCTAGAAGAAAAGTGTTTGAAGTGACTGTAAAAGCAAAGGGCACTCTTTTGTTGGCATTTATATGTTAGCTAGTTCTTTGGTCTGGTATAGATTGTCTTTTAAATAAAATGTCAAATGTCTTTAACAAGTGTGATATCAAGGTCTGTAAATGTTCTGCAGCATTTGCTACTCAGCCTTTAATACGGCAAACCCTTGGTGGCGCGCTATTGTGAATCGCCCATATTACAGGATTTTTTTATTCTTTTATTTTTATTTCGGTTAAACAGTTCAAAGGTCCAAGGTATTTCTTGAAGGCAGGTCCTGGGAAAAATGAGTTTGGACAAGCTCTAGGAGTGAGACAGTGACAATACTGTCATTTGCCTGCTGGCACTATGCAGTCATGCATTTTTTCACACGTGTACATTGTTCACCAGTTTCCCGTATTTTTGTTGGCAAGCGTTCAGTTTGAAATCTGTACCAAACTTTCAAATACTGACAAGTTTAATGTCATTATACATGTCTGCTCTCACATTTGTTAAGTAAAAATACTTTGTTTTGCAAAATCTCTAAAGATTTAACCAAAAAAAATTCTGAACTGCTATAGACAGCCACCTGTGTGAGAAAAGCACATTTTCAATGTATTACAAGAATTCCTTGATCAGTAGCTGAACGCTGTTTTATAGTTTCAGCATGCAAATTTATACCACAGCTATACGTACTTCACTGTCAAGTATCGAAACACCTGACAGCCTATTTTTCAAGTATCTTTTAGTTTACATACCGATAGATGCTTGTGATATATTCATTAATTTCGGGGGTTGTTTCAAAATCTAAACTGTATAGTTGGCTTGTGTTAATTGTGTACTGTCCATTACAACTGTTGATTTTCCCAGGGCCTGCCTAGGTCAGCATGTGAGCATGTACATTGCCTGCCTTATGCAGACGAGCCTACTCCAATTATGCCATGAGAATCTTTGGGTTTAGTGAGTAATAAGGAGGATGTGCAACCATAAATTGTACAGTGCATGAATTAATGAAAACTTCAATTAAATTTAGCATGGAGTACGGGACAGGCTAACCCCGTGTCATTGGATGCTGCAGTTTCTATGGATACTGACTGGCAGATTGTTACTGCATTGTCCACCAAGTCTCTGAGCAGCATGGTGCTGTAGAAGTGCACCTCAGAGCAGAACGTCTTCAGTTTCACGTGAAAGCAAAACTCATTTAATCAATACAAAATCCTTGAAAAGCTGATTAAAAAGGTAGGATATCACCTTGAGTACAAATGGGTGTGGCTACCTAAATGAAAATTTGAATGTGTGCAGAAAAAATTTGTGCAGTTCGTAACGACAGTGCAGAGTAAATTTCTGCATCGTGCATTAAACGTGTATTGATGTGTGAGGATTCAGAGTGGTGTATTATTTGCATTTGTGGCATTTAATGGAAATAGAGATGACGGCACTCCCCTTGTACAAAAACTGGGCAATATGCCTTCAGATCTGTGAACATTTCTGAATAGTTTGAGTGTTTTAATTGAGGAATATTACCTGCTGAAAGGCAACTGTCTTGAAAAACAAACATCCGTTCGCTATCTAAACAAATAATTTGGGGCTTCCGTGTTGTTAAAAACTACTCTTTCTTAAGTACGCAAAGGAAAAAAAAGACTTTTTCACTCATGAAAGCTGCGGAACAGTTACATGCCTGCTTAAATTAAATAAGAAGCCATTTAATAAGGTAATTTACTTGAAAAAGGTTTCATATCGGGAAATAAAATAGGACGTATGTGCTTTCAAAAGGCAAGCTTGCACTTCCCCCATGTGAGGCAGTATATGAAGCACCACTCATGTAACAAACAAGATGTGGTCAATCTGCTACATGTACTTTTTTTTTTTTTAGATTTATGCCGACTTTTTTTTGGTAGATCCTTGACATTGCTCAAGAGAAGTTATTCATGGACCATGTTGTCTATATAAAACGGCAATGATGGAGAAGTTTTATGTGAAAGCACAGTATGAGTGAGGGCCAAAATAGTTGATCTCGCATCTTTTGACACTGTTGAAATGTCCGAGGAAACTTGCGAAAAGAACCATTTGCATCTTTTATTTAATTGGATTGTAAGATTAGATGCAACTGAACCGTCTGGAATGGTCATGGGAACAATCAAGGGAGGATGCAGAGTGTCTCTTAACTGTCAATCTCAGAGTGGATGGTGGGTGTCCATGGCGAC